GAAAGAGAGAGGGAAGGGGGGAGGCTTCCCCCGGGCGGCCGGGGGGGGGCAGGGGGGGATTGTTCCTCTCTCGTCATATTGTAGTGCCAAACAAGGTGTTTCTCACTTATAATGCCCTCACATAGGTGGTTGAACCTTACCTGTATTTGTGGTGAGTCTCTGTGTAATTGGGTTCTGGGTGTTGGGTGTGACTCATGTGTGTGGAACAGCGGTTGGAATCTTCATTTGAAAGCGTGGAAGTTGAAGGCTATGGCTTCCTCAGTCTAAGGGATTATCAACTATCATCTCTCGGATTCCACGAACAGCTTCTCTTCATCCGTAACCTGGATTTAAGCCGTAACCGCCTGCGATCAGCCCAAGGTATATGTCCAATTCCTCTTAAGCAGAACCCTGTTGCCCAGGTGCTGCCATGATTTTATACTATTTTCCTCCCCCAGACCGCGGCCTCCCCTATCACTCTGCAGTCTTTCCCCATTCCCATCCTCGATCATCACTACTGGTGCTTGTCCTGTTAACCACTAGGAATTGTTAAGTACCTGGCCCCGAAGGCATGCGCAGTTTGCCCGGTACAGGGGGAGGGTGGGGGATGGGGGGGGTGCAGACAAGGGGCGACATAGTCAATAAGGTGAATTGGTTGCTGGGCATAGAAGTCTGTATGAGGTCATCTGTGGGAATGTGAGGATTCAGGATTGACTGTGTCGTTGTCGCTTGATTCGTTGAAAGCTTGTGTGCAAAGAGGGGTGCATGGCAAGGGATTGAACTCTCGACTACCTGATTTCAGCAATGTCTGCGTCACGGCAATGCCATGTTGAACATCAAACTGATGTCCAAAGGTACCTCGTCTTCCATTGAGGCGGCCCCATCTGAGCCTTCCAGCTTCCTGCAGTACCAAAAATGTTTTTGTTGTGCATGCACTCAAACTTCTCAAAGTCAGGTCGATTGATGACCAGTAAGAATTTGGCATCGTTTTGAGCGATATCCATTAAGGATCTTCAGCACCGGCACAGAAGCATCTATTAGGTATGGTTGCATGTTCCCAATTTTTTGCATGCAAGCCCTCTTCTGCTCGTTTGCAGACATGCAGATTTTTACATGTGCAACAGGCACTTAAACCATCAGTTCAGCTGAAGCGAAATAGAAAGGGGTTTGGGTAGCAATGGTGAGGGACAGAGAGAATGCAGGTAGGGTTGTAGAAGTGGGCGTGGGGGACGTGTGGGTGACTTTCTTCCATCGGGAAATGGATAATAGCCTTACAACGTATCCACAAAACGAGAGGAGATGGTGGCAGAAGGTGGACACGTACAGAATCAGGGTAGTAGGAGAACAAGAAGAATGGGTAGCATTCCTCCCCAAAACCCCACTCGCCAAGCTCCTCTTTGAACTGGCAGAGTGGCAATGGCACCCATCAGGCAGGACGAGGCCGGGAACAAGTAAGAAATGATTTGCCCTGTCTGTGAAAGCCACATACCGGCTTCTCAGGCCCCGAGTTGATCTTAAGAGTGTTGTGAGGGATGTCCCACCTGAATGTAGGGAGGGACAGCGTTCGCCCCATCCGATGGTTCACCGCCACAAGAGCCAGACCTGCGAAGATGGCCTCCTTGCAATGACAGATAGAGCACCATTGCCTCCCTATAAACGACTGGTTCATCGATCGAACATACTTGGAACAAACGGGATTGGCAATGTCGTGGTGCACGTCATGTCTGCCTGCCTTCCCTGCCCGCAAGATCCCCGAAAGTATAGAGCATATTTTCTTACAATGCCCGGGGGTGATTCTTACTTGGCGTTGGTGGGATAGGATCTGGGGGTTGCTTGTCACGGAGTCTGCGTGGCCATGGGACTGGAGAGCACTCTTGTGTGAATCATGGCTCTCCCCCACGAATAGCACTTTTGAAGAGAACATGTTTAAGGTGGGGAGGAGAGCAATTATCTGGGTGCTCTGGAGGAAAAGGTGTATATTAACCATTGAAAAAGTAAGATTGGAGGGTGTGGAAATGTCTGATCTAATCAAGCAATATATTCAGGAAGAACTTGCCATACAATTGCAGGCAGTGAGATCTAAATTGGACCTATTTCACACTGAAAAGGATATAACACTGGTTATCAAGCAATTCTCCAGGGACCGGTTGGGGAATGAACAGGGAGGTTGGATGGCTTACGTTCACTGGGCGGGTGGCAGAATCCGGGAAGGTGGGAAAGAGGGCTTGAAACAAGACTATACTATCTGCTTTAAGGATTGGATCAAGGTGGGCGCAGCGATTCCGTTATACCCCCTCTCGGAGTTCCCGGACCTCTTCCCACCTCATGGTCTTCCAATGGTGGATCTTCAGTGGTACAGTGCAGAGTGAGTGTGAGGGCTGCATCGAAAGGAAGGATGGGAGCTAGACGGTCACGTACAGCAGGCGCCCTGCAGCAGGGCTGAAGAGGCGTCTTTTTCCTCCTTTCTTGGGCACTCATCTACCTGTGCAGTAAATCCCGTGTTCAATCAATGCTGGCAGGCAGTTAGGAAAACTCAGATGGATTGGAACGGCTATTGTTTATGGGACGCTGGACCCAATTTCCAGCAGGTGTTGCTCCCCAACAATAGATGGAGCCTTCCCGGGGGAGCTAGATGCGTCTTCTCATACCAGTGCCCCTAGCTCCCACATGGGCAGCTTTCCCCTCCCCCCCCCCAAACAAAAAAGGATTTAGGGAGAACGAGCATACATTCCATTCGGGGGAAGACAGTTAGCAAAGACAGTTGGATTCCACGCATCCATCAGATGCAACTTCAGCATGCGACCACATGCACTAGCCAGGCTGTCTGAGCCAGGCTTTTTTAAAAATTGTTCGGAACAATGGATCAGGGCCAATCCTATCTGATGGCAGTAATAAGTTTTCTTGACCCGACATCGGGAGAACTAGCCGAACAAATGGCAGGACCCCTTCCCTCACACCTATGTTCCTGTACAAGGTGGAATCGCCTCACATGAAATGAGTCTTCGAGGTCTCTTTTTGTCTGATGAGTGGCTACTCAAAAAACTGTGCTGGATACGCATACTCATGTTGGGCTTACTGTCTTCATAGTCTCTATGCATGACAAGCCACAATCTAGCCACGATCTAGTAGTCAGAGGCCTGCCTATTTACGAGAGACGGTGGGACATAATGAAGGAAACAACTGATGGGCCTTAAGGTGGTCATCTCCTTCCGACACAGCAGCAGCATGAGGGGTAAACTTTGTGCTGTATGGTCCCTGGTTGGGCAAACCTTGCTTACATTCAGATCATCTTTTCATGCTATATTGGTAGGGAGTACCATGCAGTGCAGCCAGCCCAGGCACCTCCAAGGGTGTAAAAGCCGCTGACTATGTCCAATGGGGTGGGGTAGGGGCATGAAAGTGCAGGATATTCCAGCGAGGAGTAGTTTGCGGACATCTCCTGGCTCCTGAGGAGGAGGGGGGACCTGCCCCACCAAGACCAAATGCGTAGCAACAGGTCACTTGAAGAGGGTGACAAAGTGTTGCCTTCCAACCTGCAGACGTGTGGTCGGAATATGTTTACAGGTGCCTGTGGTGGAACAGTGTGTGGTACAGCTGCTGCAGCATTCACTGATAGACAATTGAAGATGAACAGAGGGCCAGGGGGAAAAAAAGCAACGTATGATGTGTCCTCATGGAGGAAAGAGGCTTGTGAGAAAGTAATAGAAAGTCTTAACACAGTTCACCCAGAATGGAATAAAAAAGTATATTCAACAAGTGATGAAATGTATGTTACATGTGGAGATCGGGAGAGTTTGGTCATGAAACTTCTGTGATTGCGAGCCTCACTGTGAGTGAATTGGTTGTATATGTCTGCAGGTTTGGAGGCTCTGCAGCTGATGACATGGCTAGATCTCAGCCATAACCAGATCACACACACATCTGCTCTTTCACCTCTTCACTCCCTCCCTTTTCTTTGTGAACTAAATCTCTCTCACAATTTGATTGGGTCTCCGTTACATGTGGACACTTGTCACTATGCACTAAAGGGATCTTTCACCAGCAACCTTTATGTCAGATGTTCACAACATCCTCCCTACTCTTCTCCTCCTCCTCCTCCTCCTCCTCCTCCTCCTCCTGCAGAAGAACAACAGGAGCAGGATGATTGCCTGCAGCACTCCGAAATTGGGTTTGCTGTCAATCTCAGATGTGAGCTTCCAGGAAGTACTTGCCCAAGCTATGGCTCCGGAGACTGCAATCAGGAGTTAGGAGAGGCTGATGATAGCCAGGGATCGCGAGAGGTATTGAATATCTTATCTGGTCTATGCGGTCTTCGAATCAATGCTCTGAATATGTTTGGCAACGAAGTCTGTGAATTGAAGGGGTATCGTGAAACGTTACGGCATTTGCTACCTTGCTTGCTGCTTCTTGACCAATCCAATGTCTAAGTGGGTTCTGTGATGAGCTACAAGGTTTCAGCTTTTGCCGTATGCCCTCAGAATGGAATACCAACTATGTACCCAAATTCGAGATCCTTGTCATTCTGCGCCACTTTGTCTTACAAACATCTCCCTTCCTCTGCAGGAAAGGGGTTCGGTGTCTTAAATAAGCAAACATCCGTTACTCTTAATCACCTATGACTTAAACAACATCCATTGCTCGCTTTGGCTCATATTTTGCATAAGATGCTTTTGATAGAATGGGCATGAAGAAGACTCCTGTACTGAACTTTGAGATCCTTGTCATTCTGTGTTACAGCATCTCCTTCCTCTAAAGGAAAGAGGTTAAATCAAGCTTAGCTCAATTTTTGCATGAGATGCTCTTGATAGTGTGGGCGTGAAGAAGACCCCTGGTTCGTGTGTGTCTGGACTATGGATAGTTGGTGTGTGTCTGGACGATGGAAACCATTATCTGCAGAATAAATAGGAGGTTTTCTTTGTTTTGTTTTTTTTGTTATTAATTCAATATCGTGTGTTCCGTCGGGACCATGGAAGGAAGGATGTTTTCTTAGCCAGTAAAATAATGTTTATTTCATGAATAGATTTGTTTCAGTCGATAACTTTGGATATCATCTCATCTACTGGAAAAAAAAAAGAGATGACTTTGGGACGTCAGGCTTGTTGGTGGAAAAGAAACTCGGATTGACCCTCCCCGTGATAGAAAATTCTGAGGCCAAGGGCCACACAAAAAAAAAGAACCACTTGACCTGTGATAGGCAGAGAAAGATGATGAGGCTGATATTCTGTTCTTTTTCTTTTAAACCGCAAGTACACAGCCCCAGCCTTGCAGTCCGAAACTTGTCGCCACAAGAAAACGAGGCCGAAACATCAAACGCTGGGCCTGCCGTTTATAAATTTAATCGGCGGTCACATTCTTGTTTCGTGCATCCAGAATTTGAGGTGTCAGGTCCACCGCCCAGGTGCCCATGTACTGGTGCTTTAAGGCGACCCCTTCAGCATCAGTCAGGCACACACATATAAACAAGGGCTGATTGCAGAAATACCATTTTCTAAAGTTTTGCCGCAACTTTGCCATGAGGTTTCAAAGTTCTGTGCCAGAAATTCCTCTTTCCAAGCGGCTGTACCATTTTCTTATACCACGACATCAAAAATACCGTGTTGCCAGACTTTCCCCAGCGTTGGACATATGCCGTCTGGCCTCGTGTTGCGAACAAGCCAGGGCTCCATCCCTGGTCTGCGGGCCACAAGCCAGCCTGCAGCTTTTTTTTCGTTTTCTGCTTCATCCCCGTTTCCGGCCTGGCGCCTGTTTTCGATTTTGAACCCCTGGCGCTACCCCGCTTTTTGGCGCCACTCCCAACATCCCCATTTTGCAGTTTCGCCCCCAGGGCCTTGCACACCGGGTCCCCGTTTGGCACGGCGAACCTATATATACATCGGCCGCCCGTACCATCGGGCAACCAGTTTTCAGCTACTATGCTTGCTCTGTGTGACTTGCCCCTTTTGCATTCGGGAATTGAAGACTTCGACTTTGTGACTCCGCTACCTTGTCTGCGTCCGTTGAGTCCGCAAGTCGCGCAAGTGAGTGTGTGTGTGCTCTCACTCTCTCGCTCTGTCTCCTCTCCTCTCTCTCTCTCTCTCTCTCTCTCTCTCTCTCTCTCTCTCTCTCTCTCTCTCTCTCTCTCTCTCTCTCTC